TATTGGGCCAGAAGAAACCTTCTGTGGGCTTTTGCTTTACCTGAAGTCACCACAAGATGGCAGATTTTATACTCAAAGTCAAGAGTAACCACAAGAACAATGCACTAATGCATGTGATTAAATCAATATATTTAAATGGAGCAGGTTAGACCTCGTGGTTTCACAGAAGGAAATTGAAAAACCCAATATTATATATACTGAGTAGAGAACTATAAATATGTATTAAAATAATTAATCTGAGTTATTAAAAAAACTCCCAAGGGAGTGAAACAGCTTAGTAATTGACTGCATTTCTTATACAGTAGGTACAAATTCAAAGTTTGATTGATTAAATTAAGATGGCATCAACAATACATAGCACTCATTTAAGCAGTGTTATACTGCCAACCAGATTTCTCAAACTCAAGTCCTCTGAGAGCCTTGTGTTTGTTGGAATTTGTTCCAATCTGAATAGTCAATGAATCAACCAAATTAAACAAATTATTTTCTTAGATTTTTCATACAGACTTTTAGAATTAATTTAGTCATAACATTCACCTCAAGGTACAGTCACGTGTAAAATAGCTCCGATTGTGATTGTACTATAAGTATTACAGTAATTCAGTTAATGAAATAGAGCAACTATGCAAGTGAGAGCTTGCGCAGAACAACAACTAGAACACTAGACCCTCCAGGAAGAGAGATTGACACCGCTGATAAGAACTGTCTGACAATCTGTGTCCTGTTGGTATTCAGGCAACTGGAAAATAACTTTCAAGTTTATCTATTAACAGGATCAATCTTGTTCCTCTAAGGGATTATTGTGCAACCAAGCACTTTTTCTGTAACATCCAGGAGAGAACCCTGTTTCTCACCCCTACTCTCTGAACTGGACACAGGGAGGAATTCACTGACTGGCTGATGACAATCTTAGAATTGTCTTGCAGTGAGATCTTAGCCTCTCATGTGTTATGCCCTTCTGAAGATGAACCTTCAGAGATTCATCTAATGCCGATGCAGTTTCAGCAAATCCAGCCTAATGTTTGAAGAAAACATCATATTTGTTGCCTAAACCCTTTGGTATGAACAGCTTTCTGGTCACAGATTCGATTAAGTAAACCAGTCAAGGTTCAAAAAGCGACTTTTGGATATCATTACAACAATTCTTCAATTTCCTAAATATAGAGCATTACTAAAGAGTAGATGCAAAAGTCAGTCATATGTAAAATGTAATTTGTTGCATCACATAAACCAGTGCTTGGTTATGGAAGTCACATGTGAAAAATATGTTTGTGATTGAAAAATTAATTTCCTCAGGCTTGGCTTTTTAATTGTGGCAACCTGGATCTCTGATTAATGTCAATATCCCTGCAAATGAATATATTATTGCTTTATATTTGTTCTTCATTAATATTCAGTACTCCTGTAATTGTGGTATGTATAAACCTACAGCTGTTTCCATCAATACATACTGCCTCATTTCAGGGTATGGAGATGCTATATGAGCAGTGTCCCAGGCTCGAGGAGTCTGTGGAATTGCAGGGATCGTTCGTACTAATGTGGTGTACACAGTGATTCTTACAGGTCTACAACCTGCCTGTAATACAGTTAATATATCGGGAAACAATGGGCCAGTCGTATTTAGTTAGCCTGTACCTGTATTTTAACTCATAGGATACGTAGGTCAGCTAATGGCCATGTGTTTATCTGTCTGGCCCTGTTGACCAGAGTTGCTCATATTCATCATTACTGGATGCCAAAGGGGCAGGTCGCTGCATTACTGGTGTTCTGGGTAAATTGGTTGTAATAAGAGACAAGAGGTTTTAGGCTGCAATGTGTATCAGCAATTGAAAAAAAAGTCAATTATTAGAAAAAAATGTTAGCAATGAGAAATATGTCAATTTCTACCTATATATACTTTGAATATTTTTCAACTTCCACTTGTAAATTTCTTCAGATTCTGAAAAGCGAAATCTGCTTTGTGTTCTAGTTCTAGTTCTAGTTGTGATATTAAGGTTCAGTGGAAGTGGGAACTGCAGTCTTTTTTAAGGTGCTGCACAGTGTGAGAAAATAAGGTTTTATAGTAATCCTGCTGTCAGCATTCAGGCTGTTTCTCATTGTGCCTTGAGGCGCATACATATCAGCAGGTGATCTCCACCTTGCTCTGAATAAGCCTGGTGTATCTTTTGTAATTAGGAGATAATGGAGGCTCGTTCCAGGTTCATAAATTCAACTTTGTAGCCAAACTGTCAGATCTGCTACTGTGCCTTATTAAAAAGTCCCTGTTTCTGGGGCTGTTGGTTAGTTCTCTTTGTTTAAAAAAGGAAGACAGTAAAACATGTAACAGAACGTTTAGTCAATATAGAAAAAACTCTGTTTGTGCATGTTAACCCTGGTTTATATCCATCTTTTAATAATGTCTACAGCTACTGGATTAGAATGCAAATATACTAGTGAATACAGAGATTACAGGGATGAAGAATGAACAAGACTTGTCTCTTCCCTAGAGACCCCGTGCACAGCATTTTCAAACTTTTCAACAGTGCTGTGAGAGGATGGACGGATAGAGTTTTGCACTAAACCTGAATAATAAAAGGTTTGTGTTACTGAGTACATTTTAGACATCAGTTATTCCTTCTTACTGCAGGGAATTATATATAATGGAGCGACAAGTTTCATGAACCTTTTCCCCTTAAGAAAGCACAAAGCAGGGACAGAGCTTTCCTCTGGAAACAACAGCTGTTGAAGCAATGAGTTGATCAGAGAGAATAGGATTGTCCGCCTCAGTCTTTTTTTTGTTGTGTCAGTGGGTACTGAGAGCACCTATCGTGATGCTGTGAAACTCAGAGTGCTCTCTGCCAGGTGTTGTTTTTTATTGTCTGTATTTTCAATAGTTGGAAAGCAGATAGACGATATTAAGTCATGCTTACACTTTAATCAAAAGTATAGCAAACATGTAAGTAAAACCCAGATTAATCTATATGAATAGACATTTTTGTCGTGAGGAGAACTATGTAAAAAAAGAAACCCTTTAAAATTGAATAATGTATGAAGGATTGACCAAAACATCACAACGACTATATATCAACTGTATGTTTTTTAAGACTATGACTCATGACTAATATTTGCAATTTGGTTATTTTTGTGGATGGCAGGGGTGCGCCAGGCTGGCTGCTCCTGAAATCACCACAGGCCTGCAGTAAGAAGGTTAATGAGTAAAAGTGTCAGGTTTCATTAGTGTAATGTAAAACAGTGAGCCTAACACCTTCAGCTAACACTTTAGATTTGGTGCAACAAAAGTCAGTCTGAAATCGGATACACTGGAATACAAGTATTAATAGTGTGGTATAAGTATCAATTGCATATTATTCATACAATCTTAGTCTTGACCCTATCCTGAGCCATACTCTTAAACCTGAATCTAACCCGGCATTAGTTTGGAAGTCTGAGTATTTGACTTATAATACTTTATAAACATATTAACAGCTGCAAAGGAACAAGTAAAGGTTTATTTGTTTATTTGCTGAAAAGAGAAGAAAACACAATGTTTCGGCTGTGGAGCCTTCTTCAGGTGTCACATTACTGTTTCTATTCTTTTAAGATGGAATAAATCTTTACTTGTTCCTTTGCATCCTGTGCATGCTGACGCAGCTCCCTGCTTGAACTATATTAACGGCTGTTTAATTATCCATTTATAAAGTATCATTTTGCAATCCCCAAACTAAGGTGTGACACACTTATCTTTGAAGAGATAGCAGTACATGGATTGATGTTTCTGTCTTGTCATATGACTAATTTCCTCAGGCCTG